CGACCTGCCGGTAGGACCGGTCCTGTTCCGGTTGGGGGAGGGCGCTACGACCAACCGGGGGGGAACCGGCCCGGTCGACCGGCTGGTAGGACCGGTCCTGTTCCGGTTGGGGGAGGGCCCCCCGGTCCTACCGGGTTTGCAGCCTTGTAAATAAATCAATGGATGGTCCTCTGTGATGACCGCTCTTCCTTCCTGTTCGGCTGCAACCGACATGGCGTTTGTCGGGAGTGTTTAGTGGTTATGCTTAATTTGGGGGGGGTCCGTTGTGGCAACTGTTGTGCTGAGAATGCTCACCCTGGTCTTTCATGACATTACCCGCCTCATCGCTACTGTTCATGTTCCGCTTTCTTGTCAAGGACAGACTGACTCCTGAGTCTTCTTTTATCTACTTTCCGTTTGCCTTCCTTTGCTTTGTCTTCTTTCCATCTTTCCTCTCTTTTAGTCCCCACTCCCTTTACTCTGCCTTTTTTTCGTGGTGTGCAAGTGGGCTGTTATAGCACACGCTCAATGACATTGACGCGGCAAGCGTTGTATGTGAGAAGCACAGTAAAGGGGGGAGCTGAAAGAAGAATAAAATGGAGAAATCATGGAAAAGAAAAGAAAGAGCTGCACGGGAAAAGGCAAAAAAACGGTTTCAGTGTGCTTCATGTTGTCTGCCTTTTTTGGTTTTTTTTGGTTTTGTTTTTTTTTCGTCGTTTGTTTCACACTGTGCGCTCTTTTAGTTCATAGATATGTGGCAGTATATATATGCACGAGTGGATCAGTTGGGCATTCCTCTGTACCTCCATTTATCTGTCCATCTGTCCATTCCTCGCTTCTGTGTGTGTGTTTGTGCACATGTGCGTGTGTGTGTGTGTGTGTGTGTGTGTGTGTGTGTGTGTGTGTGTGTGTGTGTGCATGCGTGTGTCTGTGCAGTGGACCGATTGTTTGATTGGTTGTTGTTATTGTCCGAAGGACGGGCTTGCCATGGTTTGCGAAGTATCTGGTAGATATAGCCTTCCTGCTCTGACAACTATTTGAGGAGCTTCCTGCTGGCTTGCTGGTTCGCTGTTGTTGTGGTTGCTTTGGACAGGTTTGTCATCTTGTGCATCTATGTGGATCACATGTTGGCTGAAACTGCGAGAGAGATACAGAAGCTGCGGCTCTTCATGTATCGTTACAAAAAGGCGTAGAGAAGTTTTTGTTGCGGTTAGGGTGCTCTGAGTCTCACGATGAGAGAAGATGTTTACATGTTTGCTGTCAGGAGATCAGCTTTTCCTTCTTTAGACAGGTAAGACTGCTGGCGCTTTGCTTGAAAGCCCCAATGCAGCGATGTAAAAATGCGTTGTTAGGCTCTCTTCCCCTCTCTTTCCTCCATTCCCCGTGTATGCTAGGGGCAAAGGTTGTATGTCTGGCCCCGCCTTGTGCCGTTCTAATCTCACCTGCAATCGCTCTCTTATTTCAGCTGGACCCTCGTCAAGGGTGCCCGCGTGGTGGAGGTTGTGGAATTGCTGATCTGATCTCCCTCCTCCTACGTCACTTCGCCGGTCATTCCTGTTGCTGCTTTGACCCTCGTCACCTCCCCCCACCTAGTGAGGGTTCTGATTCCCCACTTCCCTCTGCATGTCTGGCTGAGCCTCCTATCATTCCGAACCTCACCGTGGAGTACTTTTTTCGCTTGGTCCCACAGTGTCAAAGAAAGGCGCACCGCACATTGCTTGGGCCCAGTGTGTCGAGGAAGGGTACCCATATCCAGTGGTTCTCTTGTACACGGCGCTCTCGGCCGTGGTCCTGGAGTTCTACCCTGTCTGTCGGCCGCCAGGGGGCGCTGTTCATGTTTACTTCTGTGAGCAGCAGCTGCAGCACCATCACCCAGCTTTCAGCAGTCTAATCTCTTCTCTGTGGGCATCTCAGCCCAAGAGTGTGTCTGACCCTCTTTTCGGACCACTTAGTCGGCTGGACCTGAGTGTACTCTGGGAGTCGATGCGTTAGCAAGGATGACGACTATTCTCGTTCTTTGGCGAGTTTACCCTACCCTCCGTCTTGTTGAGTTGAATCTGGACATATGTAGACCGACCCCGGCTTTGTTTGAGAATAGGGTTGAGGCGACGGGAGCCCCATTTGAGAGTTGGCTCGAGCAGTGACAGCGGGGTCTTCAAAGCCGCCCAGCCCTCTCTTCGGTTAAGTCTAGCCAAGTTAACCTGTGTGAACCAGAACAGAAGTTGAGCTCAGGTGGCTCAGGCGGTATTGCCTCGAGTTGACCTCATTCAGCTCAGGTGTTCAAAGCTCAAACCTTTGTCACGTACGGTTGAATTGGGTTGGTGTGACTGCAATTGTGGCAGTCTGAGTTGAGTTAATAAGAGGTGACCTGAATTGACATGGTTAAGTTGAGCTGACCGGAGGTTCTGTGACTAACATGAGTCGGACTGAGTTTCGACTTTGATTGTGGTGGTCTTAGACTCTGAGACTTAACGACAGTAGACCTGAATCCGAATCCACGCACTCAGTAAATCTGAGTTGGCAAGATCGATCTGAGACGAACCTGGGTCGGTCAACCTGAGTTAACCTATAAGTCAATCTGCAGTTGTGTTGAGTCGAGTTGAGTTGGCCTTAGTTGCTCGTAAAGGAAGGAGGACCTTAAAGCAGTCAAGCTGTTGCTGCTTTTCTCTCCTGGCAATTTCAGAAGGGCCAATTTCAACCGTCTCTCTCATTGTTCCCGACCCGATTTTCTAGAGCGGATAGAATTCACCCGAGTTGATTCAACTGACCGCCGATCCCCGACTTGACCTGAGCTGCGCTGGTCGACTTGGCGCTGGCTGGGCAGGACAGCCCTTCTGCAAGTTGGGTTGCGTTTTAGGAGATGGAGATTGACGCAATGATGCCGTGACTGCTCAACCATTCGTCTGTGTTGGGACTGCGTTGTGCCAGATGTGGATGGAAGGTTCAGATTCTCAGAATTTAAATTGAGAGATTGAAATGGTTCACCGGTTGCACTGCATGCTCTCATCTTTTTTTTTTGTTTTGTTTTTTCTTTTTTTAAGTTCCAACTCAGGGGAAGAATGCCTTTTGTCGGGGTGATGAGACCGTTTAGGAAAAGCTTGGGTCCAGGTTGCATGCGCGAATATTGCGAAGTGTTGGGAGGGGTGATAGGTGACTGAGGTTAGCAAGTAGTTTGGGGAGGAGGGAGATGGGAAATTGCAGCGCATATGGATGCMCCCCCCCCCCCCCCCCTCCTCTGCGCATAGTTGGAGAGAGGGAGTTTGTACGGTCTTGCTCTGTGTGGCCCCCGGGTGTGTGGCGTGTGTCTTGTCCGTGCCAAACCTCTTGACAACGAAAATTGTCGAACTTTGTCCTTTCGTTGTCTGCTGGTGTGAGGGTTAATGAGATATGGTGGTCCCCCACGTAGAGATTGAGGTACATCTTTGTTCGGAATGGCATAAAAAAAGGATTGAAAAAGGAAAAAAAAATAAAAATAAAAAGGGATTCAAAACAGCAAACCACTCAGAAGCTAACAAGCTTAAACAAATGATGTCGAACAGTCGAAGGGCTGCCCTTTTCTTTTTTTCTTTTTTTTTTAATTCAAGTGGCGCTTTGATGCAGAAATTGTTGTTGTTATAGAACAGAGTGAAACAACCAAGGGGTGCTCTTCGTTTCGCGTTGTCTGTTGTTTGTTTTGGAGTATTTGGTTCCGCAAAACGGCAATTGCGTCTCATTGGCAATGAGAGACCTGGAAGCATGACACGGCTCGCTGCAAAAGGAAGGTGGGGGCTCCTTTTTTTTTTTTTTTTTTTTTTTTTTGTATGGCCAAGCACACACGTATCACAGTAGGAAGTCCACCTTAAGATGAGTGGTCACGGCTCTTGCTTATTGAAGCATGTCCTTCCAATATCCCACAGGGAATAAAAATAGGGCATGGGTAAGGTCACGGCAAGACGAGCGAATACAGAAAAAGAATTCTCCGTGTTATGACAAGCAGCAAGGCTGGCTACAACAGTAAGCGGGGCCTCATTTGGTCCATTTGCTGGCCGCATTGCCAGGCGCATGCTTTGTCACAGGGGATATGACTGCAGATGGTGACAGATGTCTGTGTTATGCGAAGCATCGAGTGTGCACGTTCTGTGTGTGTGTGTGTGCGTGTGTGTGTGTGTGTGTGTTGTCATGTTCATTGTACACAACTTCACACAAAATAAGCAGGACTGTTCCAGACTCTTTTGTCGGACTTCCACTGACCCGTAAGGAGGTTGAAGCCCAACAGTCTGCCTGGGTTGCATTTGCCTGATGGATAAGGCCTCACGACGCCACCGAGAGTTTTACTAATCCCCAGCCAAACTCATAAGAGGGAACTGGTTTTCAGTCATAACCCTGTTTTCATTCCAAATTCTGGGGGGAAAAAAGGAAAAAGACGAAACAAAGATTAAACCGAGCAAAACTATTTCCAGGCAACCAAAGAATTTGTAATGACACGAGGGATAACAACTCCTTCACAGTGCTCTCTTGTCATTGTCATACACCCACCATCACGCAATTCCTCACACACCATAGGCGAGATTCACACGGCACGAGAACACTTTAAAATTATATTATATAGTAATAAATACTAATAATTATACACAATAGGTTGTGCGCAGCTAATCGGAATCCTAGGGTATCTGTCTGTCTTTTTTTTTTCTTCTTTTTTTCTTTTTTTTTACAAAAGGTGGACCAATGGCGAAGAATGAATGGATTTCTAAACCTGCCCTTGCCAAGATGGAATCTGTGGCTCAGTGGTTAGGACACCGGTTGTCAACGTGCATTGTGGTCTGAGGTCGTGGGTTCAAAACTCGGCGCCTCTGCACAGAGACACCGGCGGGCGTTTACATAACACACGGTCACTTGCAGACCCCCTTGGGATGACACAGGTAAGCTATTACAGATGCTGCCTGCGCACCGCCCAAGGGATTGTCCATGGTGTTGTATGTTGGGTCTAGACTGTGATTGGTTTGCGTGCGCACTTGGTCCATGGGGTTGTCTGGATGCTTTCACACTTGTTCCTTATTTGAGCTCAGCGTTAGCACACGTTCAAACCATTGGAGAGTGTAGTAGTTGGGTAGGTTAACACTGGTCACGGATAAGCATGAGGTTCGGGGTTCTCGGTTTGATACTGAAGAAATGAGTTCACGAAAAAACATTGTCTGGATGCAGACGAGGGTTGTGGGCGGTTGATCACGTGTTATTGGTTAGTATGGTTACCTTAGGGCTCAGCTTTGGGGGGGCATGGGTTCTAGGTGGGATTGATTGGGGCCTCCGCTGGGTGGAGGGTTGGTTGGACATTATCCCTACTGGAGGGTTGGTGCCCCTGTGGTAGTGGATGTCATAGGGGTTCTCTGGGTTGACGTAGAGCTGGGATAGGCCCTGGTGGAGGATACCGTTGGGGAACCTGTATCGGAGGCTGTCGTAGAGGGGTGAAGGTTGGTCTGTTACCTGCATGGAGACTACTGTCAGATTAGAATAGCCCAGAGTAGCTCCTGTTGATGATAGAGGTTGGGGAAAACACAGGATGGTGGCCGTGAACTCGGATGACGAGTAAGGGTGGGAGAGTGTGTCATAGGGGACCGGTTAGGCAATACATTGGGATGAGCAAATGGTCAGGTGCTGGCAGGCCTGTGATATCCCTAGTAGCCACAGCCGCTACGACAACCTGGACTTCAAAAAAAAAAAAACAAAGATGGAACCATGGAGAGAGAAGCGTACATCTCTTCGAAGTCGTGCGCTAGTTATTAAGAAAGAATGTGTAATTCTTGCGCCCCTATGGTATAAATCTGCAATATGGGTTCTTGATAACGCGGCTTTGCGCTCCCTCCAGGGACAAGTGACGGCTTTCTTATGGAGGGGTAATCATGAATGCAAAACCGTCATAAGGAGGGTAGCCTGCTAATCAGTAATTCAACCCAAAAAATCTAAAGGGGGCCTTGGCATTCTGGATCCTGCCACACAGGTAATGAATGGCCTTGTCAATCCAATGGTTTTATATACCACCAGTACCTACCTCATTTTCCGTCCCTCCCCGGCGTCAAATGAATTTGGACTGCAGGGCCAGGCCGACTCGGCTTCCGTGTTAACGGCCGCCCCAACTGGTAGGTACTGGTGGTTTAAAAAGGTTACTCTTCAATCCACAAACTCAATGGGCTGGTTTGGCCTGGTAGCAGATCGCCAGGTTTGCACCTGTGGTCCTGGAAGGAAACGATCCAAGGCAGGCAGTCGGGCTTGAAAACTGGTATTGGTCTATTCTGAAAGGACACACCCAGGTCACAAGGCAGGCAGGTCACAAACCTGTACTGACACATAGGCAAGGATCCATTTTGGACTGATTTTCTTAAACCACCAGTACTTGGCCCAGCGATCTATGCCGAGCCTGGAATGCCCCTGCGCGCCAATTTTCGCCGAAGCGCCGGGGTACCGTTTTGAAAATTTTTTGGCTGGCGCTTCCAGCCATTGTGGTCCGGTACCCCGAAGCCCTAAAGGCGCGGCGCGTTAACGGGAAAGCGCCGCGGCCGATGGCTGGGCCAAGCACTGGTGGTTTAAAATTTGGTGTAGGTTGCCTCCTCTCCCAGCTAAGGTTACCCCGGAGATGGGAAGAGGTGTGTCGACAACCAACCTGTGTATTCAATAATCGATGGATTAAAGACTCGACTGGAAGAATTTTTCATTGTATGGATTCGCCATGGAGGGGATGGGTGAAGAATGACATTTTGAGGATTGGAAATATTTGGTGTCAAGATGAATTTGGGCGCTCCTGTGGAGCCCGTACGTTTCCTAAAATTGTGGCGTGGTAACTGGCACGACATTAGGAAGTACAGCAGTGGTTTTACGGATTGGTATTCTCTTTCTCGACTTCAGCCCCACCTTCGCTCTTGCAGGCAGTCGGCTAGAGAGTGCCGGGAAGGCTAACTGAGCTTATGACAATGGAGTGGTTAAGAATTCCTAGAAGGGGCCCAGACTGCGCGCAGTCAGAGAGTGCAAACGGGTAACCATTGCCCGTACCTGACCGTACCCAACCGTAACCGCCGGGTTGTGGGCGGGGATAGGTACCCTTCCAGAGGGGCGAAATGGGTACGGGTGGGCGAGAAAAATATTGGTTTTTGTTAGGGCAGGGACAGTTGTCCCCCCATGGAGATCATGAGCGGGCAGGGGCAGGGAGGGGCGGGGAAAAGACAAATAACCCTGGATATGGACAACAAATAGAAAAAAAAGCGCGGGTATGGGCAGTCTAGGGTAGTAAAAAAAAATGAAATGGGGATGCGTGGGTAGCACTTCCTTTCGGGTAAGCTGAGTACAAGTACCAGGTACTATCCGCCCCCGCCCCCGCCCCCGCCCCCTTCACCTCTTCTGCCCACCCGAGGTTCCCAGCGTAGGTAAGCTAAGTCCAGATTCCTGTAGAGGACTGAAAGGTGGCGAACGACAGATATGACAGCTTGCTATTTCCGGGTTTTCAAAGGGTTTTGGGTTCTTAGGGTTTCAGAAGGGTTTTGGGTGTAGACAACAAAAATCGTAACAACGATTTTGGGGGTTGCGGGGATCTGGAATGGTCTGAGCCTAATGGACCTGAGGGCGATCAGAGTTTGGGAAGAGCCGGCTTGCTCCCTGCGCCGTTGGCGCCGTCAGTGGACGCAATAGCCTGTTGTGTAGTAGGTTCAGGTCTGCATTTCCCCCCGTAGGTTAGATTGGCGTCTGGTAAAGTGAGCTGGATGCTAGTGTCGGGGCAGGTTCATTCACGGGGGGAGTAGGTGCGATCGGCCGGACTACAAGGATTCAATTCTTTGATAGCGCTAGGGTGCCCTGGGGATGGGGCGGTTAGGGGTGGTTGGGGGATGATGGGTTCAGGGGTGGGCAGGTACAGGTGGGTGCGTACAATTGTGGGTGGGTAAGGGTCGATACGGGTGAAGAAAACCTGGGC